AAAGTATGATTTCCTCATGGGATTTTTTAAGTTCAGATTGGCTTATCAATACCCCTATTGAATATATAAGTCTGAACGAGTATTAATATCCAAGGGCCTAAGCCACTTGTAGACTCTATGTTCTGTTCTCTGTAAAGTAGTATCATTGAATATTTCATACTGTTGCATTAATAATCAAAGGTAGTATTAAAATGTAAATGGACTACACTCTTAATAATACATTTTTATTTTGCTTATTGATTTTAACTTTTCTCTTCCAGCTTTCTATGTTTTTCAAAAATGTATAGTTGGAAACCAGCTGGTCTAGAAAAAGGGAAAAGGCCCGATCCCCAGGACCGCGGATTCAGGCTCTGCCGATTCCCAATTGTTTTTGCTACGCGGGAACGCAAAATCTCTCTAGACCTAGATGAAAGTAATCTAAAAAGAGCGAAGGAACTATATCCTAAGATAAATGCTTTGAAAGAGTATTAAAAGTAGCCTTAGACGTATTAAAAAAGAAGCCTTAGACTTTTTGTGTTTTTAAACATTCCCAACCAACTAAGGCGAAATCTATCTTTTTGGTGTCACATAGGATTTGGATTAGTGATATTGTATTAAATATATGTGTTTAATTTGTTGGAGGGGTTTATTAGGTAGTGGATCTTTGTACCCAGAAGATGTGTAGCGTATGTCCTAATATAATCTGAGCAAAAGGTCGGGGGTTTCAGGACGATTAAATTTAAATTTATCAAACGTTTATTAGGGTAAGGTAAGCGTGGTACCTGTACCAAATCCAAGTGTTTAGAAGTGAACTTCTGTGCTGGTGAGAGAGTACTCGTGATTTCTTTACGTTGGTATCTGGGAGTAGAGCTGGAATTTGTCTCTTTTTTGAAGAATTTTGTAATTTTATAAATATAATGTTTTTTTTATTAAACCAAAAGTATACTTAATAATAACCAAACACTCCGAGCCTGAAAGTGACAGTAATAGAATAGCTAGTATGGACCCGTTTGAGTTAAATGTGATTTTGTCTTGAATTTATATTATTAAACATTGAGTGCTTGCTGCAGATCCTATTAAATATTGAGTGCTTGCTGCAGTTCCTATTGAACATTGGATGGGGGGAGCGAGCTGGCTTAGTGGTTAGGGCGCGGGACTTCAGTCCCTGAGGTCCCGGGTTCGATCCCCGCAAAGTCACCAATGGATTTAATCTAAGTGATAATGTCGCAACCGCTAGGTCTAGCCTGAAGTAATGTGAAAAACAATCCCAGGCTAGTGCCTAGCGTCCTAAGACAAAAAAAAAATTTGGTGCTTAGTGCAGATCCTATTAAGCATTGGGTGCTTCCTGCAGATCCCATAAAACTAGCAAAATCTTAATCCCAAACTTGGGGCGATCTCGATTTCCTCAAAACTGCAAAAAACTATAGTCCAATCTTTAACTTGTGGTATGGCCAAATATCATAATTACTTCCCTATATCGGCTCACGTCATCATTGAAGTTCCATATTAAAGATACGTTTTTAGATATGTTTTCAAAACATTTTACCTTGACTGTTTAAGTTAAACATAACATATTTGGCAGCTCAATATCTTTACACATAATAGGCGCTATATGATGTAGACCGGCACGTTATTATTATTTACTCATTTTATCAAGGAAAATATTAAAATGTTAATTAGCGTACCATATTAAAAGGAAGGATGGCTTTAATGTATATTTTTTCGATCGTGTTAAAGCTATGACACAAAGGTGGGTGTTTGAATTGCTTTAATAAAATCTCTCTTTATCAAAAGTCTGTGTGCAAAATCATGCTTCAAAGAGCAGCAGCTTCAGTGTAGGTGAGAGTCTCTTTGAAATATTACAAAACCTCAAACTGCTCTTTTGTTCGTGCCACTGAATTAATTAACTAGCTAACAAAGCCATTGCCCGGAAAAAATATTATGGCTCATATAATTATTATGACAATCTTTTCAAGTCCATGACTTAAAGTTTCACAAAATTGTCAAACAACTTATAAAAAAAAATACGTTTATAACATTTTACATTAACATATTTTGAAAAAATTAAGATTAGGAAGACCGAAAAAGAGTATTTTTACCTTAAACTTCTGTACGTCACTGTATGATATATGATATGTTATAATATGATATGTTTTCAAGGTGGTAAATAATTTCCATCATGAAACCAATGACAAGTAGTTTGCTAACTATACTCAAATTGTTAATTAGCATGTAAATTTAAATTACATTTAAATCCCAAGTTTTTCAACGGAGATAATATTGTGAATTTACAATTCTGAGAACAGTATGTTATTTAAATGAACGATTATAGTAACTGGAAACCGACAGAGTATTTCTATGTAAATGTAACTTTGATTTGAATGTTAAGCCTGAATACGTTTTGACGAGCTTTCTCAGGCACATCCCTCGAAATTCTACGTTGTGGTTGATGGTCCTATCGTTTGTAAAAATAAATATTCGTTTTTATACCTATTTGTTTTTCTCAATGGTCACTTCTTCAGTAGGTAGAAAGTTATAAAATAATGTAGATCCCTTTAATATGAGTCACTCAAAAATGAAACCGTGAACCACTTACTTTTATATGTTGACAATAAATATAATACTGTAATGGAAATAAAAGACAACTCAACATTTTGTCATCTTTCCCGGTGGTTAACAAGGCTGTTTATGTCATAAAACTCCTAAAAGACCCAAAAAACATTAATCTACAAGGTTTAAATGTATTATAGTATTATGACAGAACTTTTACATTTAGTTGTGTTTTGCATCTTGTCTTGTGCAAGGGAATAAAGAGCATCTACATAATAACGGTTTACCATACCATACTATGGTTTAACATAAACGTTCCATATTGAACTCTAATTAATTGTTATCAATTGTGTTAACCGTGAAACTTAACAACAAAAAAAAACAAATTAGTTAAGTTCGAATAAGTAATGCAAATATGTCAACGATAATTAAAGTGTATAAAACAAAACTAGTCATACTGAAAGGTTTGTTTTTAATGAATCGATTATTAATATAGTGTATAGATTTATCAAAGCTGTTTTTAAAAGCTACATCAATTATATTATGAGTGAAAATTCTGTAGAGTATCTTTACTTATTTATGGTTTCATGATTAATTATTTAGAAATGAAATGTTTTTTACCTATAAGCCATGCGTGCTTGACCTGCTTGTTCCACAAAAGAAACAAATAGGCGGAAGAAGCTCAAAGACAAATTGCAGCCGTTGCATATATCGATAAAGTTACTTTAGCATGTCGAATCCTCAAAAACGATCTGAGGATTGTCCACGATCGTTCTTTTTGTCCCAAATACTTTTGTGAATCTGCCTCCATGAATTCCACTAAGTATCCCACCCTAATAGCAAATGCTGCACGGCACAAATACATTCTTAAGTAAATTTCTGTTAGGATTTTGATGTTTTTTATTTTATTCACCATTACAGTTTAATTTTCCGTATGATTTGTGGTTAACGTGCAATAAATAGTGTTTATGTGACTTAAAATTTTACGAAGCTTATAAAGCCCCGTTAAAAATGTACATGTTTAATACATTTTTGAGAATTTATATTACGAAACCAGGCCTCAATAGGTTTAATACTAACCATTTTCCTTTTTTGTCTCAAGACATTCCAATAAAGCACTGATTTTTAATTTCAGCTTCTATTAGAAACCATGGTTTGAACTATTTTAATTGTATCTTTGACTATTGGATGTTGTAAATTTCCACATGTATGTGCTCATCCATATCATTGTCTCCTCCAAAACTCTTGCAAAATTATATATATATATATATATAGCACTAGTTGCTGTACCCTTGCTTCGCAGTGGGAAGGTGTACTATACCACCTAATCCAAACACCCTTAAGTAGATCGAGTTTATAAACAAAAAGCCAACAAATCTCAAAAAAAGTATCACCTACATTGTAATTGTCCTACTGTTTACATTTAAATATATCAATAACATGTGTTTCATGATTTATAGTTATAGCATCTTTCTTTGTTTCTATAATCACATAAAAATAAACATACCATGTCATTGTGTAAAAAATATTTATTTATTTCTCTGTATTCAGCTGTCTGAAATTGTAAAACATTTAGCATTTCTAACTGTTTAAATTGAAATGTCAACGCAAAGGTAAACAAACATTGTGAACTTTGTCATGCTTCCTTGGAGACCAATTAATATTTACTTTTGAATACCTCACCTCAAAACTTTGGACATCAAAGGGGCGGAGCCCGAGAGGTACTCAGGAAGGTGAATAGTCCTCTGACATTCCTAGGTATGTGGACAATCTTTGTTCCTAACTTGTGGTTTTTCGGTTTAGTATGTTAGTCGTGGCAGCCGGACGGACAGACAATTGTATAATGGTATTAATAGATATATGTATATCATCCTATTTGTTTATTGATCCGTATAGAGCAATAAGTATAGATGTTGATGCCTATAATTATCACAATTTTTCTGCCAATGGATCATTCGTGGTTATTACTGCCAAATGACTATAACAAGCATTACCATATTTATAATCCTTGTATTTAAAGTATTGCCTCTTACATATATTTTGGTAATATTTATTGCACTGTAATACTTATTTTATTATTATTTCGTTTTTGGAATCGTAATTGTTCTGTCAGATTTGTGATTATGCTAACTACTTAGCTATAATTGATCATATGTTTATCAATATTTTTCTGTTCATTCCTTTTCTGATTTCATTTCTTGTCAGAATTTTAGCGTAGTTGCCATGGCGAAGCAAGATGAATCTGTTTGGTATTTCTTATATTCAACATAGCAGCAAAAGTGTGTTGTCGTCTTTTAATTTCATTTTTAAATTTGCATAGTGTCATGCAAATTGAAACTTGTGTATGTATTGTAAAAATGGTGTTTGCTGTGTGAATAAATAAATAAACAACAACATCATGAATTTGAATTCTACAATACAATTAGTATTTAAATCATTAAAATTATTTATAAAATTATTATTTTGTGTAATTCATGTTAAAAATTGGACTTAGTATGGTAGGTCAAAGTTAGGCTGCTATGTAGGTTGTTTAAAATAACAAGTTGGTGGAGTTGCATTAGGAAAATGGCTCAATACCTGGAAGATTTTGATAAAATATCACTTTATTATCATTCTACTTATATTTTCAAACGACGAATGATGCGTGGAACTGTACCTAGCCGGAGGATGACGATTTAGTGGAACTTGAAGTGGTGGAGTTTGCACAGCCTGGGGGAGGTCCTGGTGGACGAGAGCCTGATGGTGGTGGACCTGAAGGCGGAGGTCCTTGAGGGCAACCACTAGGTGGGGGCCCTGAAGGAGGGCCATCAGGGCGTTGAGGCATGGCACTCACCATTATAGCCAACATACAGGCAACCCCCAGATACATCTGTACAATTAGGAGTGTTTAAATAATTAAAATCTATTATATTTAAATATAAAAAGTTTAATGCAGATATTTCATATAAGTAAAACCCAAGATTGTTATCAACACAAAACACCTTCACTGAACTGATTATACAAATAAAAACAACATTATAGTTTAAAGTAAAATATGAACAAGACAAAAATTAATATAGACATGCAGCTCAAAAGTAAGTTTCTTGTTTCCACTTTTAAATACAACCTTAAAGAACACGTGATGATTTCAAAACACCAATTTACCACCAAGTTGAATATTAATAACAAACCATTGAGCTTTTGTTACCTAAATTGCGTATTATATTAGGAGTTGTAAAACAGTTTACAAAACGAATTTATACGTCATTACAGTTATCTCATTGTGGGATTTAGCCAAATTGTAAAAATTGTAAGCAGAATATATTCAGAGTGAATCTACAAAAATTTAAAAAAACATGAGAGCACACATGTTGAAGGAGGTTTGATTGCTAAGAGAGAGTGTGTACAACGCTGAATAACCTACAGCAGAAAACCCTACACCAAGCAAATGATTGTTTGCACTTTGCATAAACGCTTACAGCAGGCAGCACATCTGGTATTTCAGTAGATGAACTTTGATTGTGCAAACAGCCTAATAACTTAACTGCGTGGTCAAAAATAGATCCTAAATCAACGATAGAGAATTTATACCGTGTTTACATCCGTGCATACCAATCGAAACTTTTTAAATATTTGTTTTACTATTAGTTTCGTCTTTAGTAATCATAACTATGAAAACTGCCATATAACCCTTTTACTTACCCTTAACTTAAGCGATACTTTAGTTACAATTTTGAAGATAGGTTTTGGTAATTCTCACTAAAGGAATACAATATTGATTAACCTAGGAAAAACTTGTTATACCTCGGTATATTTGTCTATCCTATTATAACTTGTTACCTTAGTGCATCATAAGTAAGCCTACTGGTCTATGTATACTTTTTAATAGTTCGAAGCTGGACTGACCTATTCATTTCTATATATTCCTGATCATTGTGCTTTTAATAAATCATCCTGGCTAATGAAAAAGCTGAACTTAGTCAGTAACAAGGCTACACAGACTATCTCACACCATCCTTCAGTAATATTTTATTAAAATACGCACCCTTAAAAAACATGGCGTTCCCATCTCAATAATTTATAATAATTGATAATTGATAAAACTATTGCCTTTGAATGCCCATTTGCGAATTTCAACACTTACTTCTGAACTTTAAATGATGATTTTCATTTATAATCTGCTAAATATTCAACGTATTGCATTATACATTTTTTTTACTTCTCAATATAAGCTCCCTGACTTCTAATAAATATCTGTACATCCCGACCCCTCTATACAACAATTTAAAGAGGAAACACCGAAATATAGAAAAAATCCAACAACTCACCCATACACGAGAACCCATGATGACTGTGTCTGCACATTGGAGTGACCGACATTGTTAAATACGTTCGTTTCTATGTTTGTCCTTGGTTGAAGGACATTTGGAGTCACGGTCATTGTTATGTTTGGTTATTAGCACAAGTGAAATATGCGGGAAATTGCGTTGTGATTACTGTAATCAACAATTGTAGGTGTGATTTTTTTAACAATCGTTGAGTTTTTTGACATAACGATTTGTTTCCTTTTAGGACTTAAATTATGGTAACATTAATAATTATTTTGGTTATGTTAATGATTTTAACACTATGTTTTACAGGTATTATTAACATATAATATTATGTTTACAAATATTAGTAAAATTAATATGGATGATCTTTTTAATAGCCGGATGGATATATTACAAACAGATGTAGTTCTCATGGCTAAAATACATTATTATTTTTAGAATTTTATAATTGCCATCACACATATCTAGACCACAATATATACTGCGCTAGTGTCAGTTTAATAAGGGCTTCATTGATTCATTCATTATTGATGATTTTTTTTCAATGTAGAAATAATTTTACTGCGTATTTTTACTCATGCAATGGTATGAACAATTAAAGAAAATGACTTGATCATTTAGAACAAAAGAATTTGATTTGATGGTAATTTGCACAACGGTTCTATGTCACTTACATGACTTTATTTATAATTGTAAATAAAATTATGATGCACATTAGTTTTAAAATATTTTCTTTGTTTAATACCCAAAGGTTGCCACCTTTCATGTTAACAGATTACTTTTGTTATGAAAAAAATATATACATAAAACAGAATTCATAATTGTCTTCCCTTTTAAACATATTTCTAACTATAATTAAAATATCACCTGACATTTCTCGTTACATTAAACAAAACGTGCAAACAGTTTCTCTTAAAACAATACACTGAAGAGAGAAGTTATGAAAACAGCTCCAAGTGGTTCTTTGGGCTAATTTATAAAACAACAGTTTAAATGTTGGAATATCCCCCAGCGTGTTTGTATATCATTTGCCCAGTTTCGTAGAATAGCTAACGATGTTAGTAGGATAAGTCAACATATCCAACGGTCATCAGATCTACGTTCAAATATTTATACATTTGATTAAGTATACATCATGTTTATATTTTATTTAGAATGAAATCCATGCAGTTTTCTCTTTTACCTGGAATTGTATTGTTTTTTATAAATACTGTTAATACAATGTAGAGCTAAAATAAATGTGTTTATTTCTGAAAATGAAGTCGTATTAGTCAATATAGCCTAAATACGGTTATTTTGCACTAACTAAATGCTGTTTATTTTAATTGAAAACTTGTATGGTATACAAAACTTTTTATCGTTTGTATTTATAAACCTATCGAATCAGTTGGGTTGATTTGGATTTTATGAATCCAATTGAAATTTTGAACTATTTACAGGAAAACATTTTTGGTCTTGTATGCAAAAATAAATATTGACTGTTATTTTTTATAGCTAGTGATGAAAAAACATATTACCTGCAAGTAACTGGATTCACTTTCTACATCTTCAATATCTAACTAAAGCACGAATTGTTGTAAAGGATGTACCAAACGTAATTTTACAGAACAATTTCTCCCTGTGCTTTGGCAGAGATGAACATAATACAGCTAATATGAGCTCCGTCCTTTGATCTTTCCAGAGAGAAAATCTAACTAAGCATGCTGAGTCTCCTGCCTAGCGCACGTTTTTAACTGTAAATATTTCATGAACTGTTGAATTATTAACTGTGTAATTGAAAATTTTAAAAACAAAACATTAGCTAGGTAAGGTCTAGTTCCATGAAAAACTTAAAATGTGTTACCACTAACCTACGGAAAAAACGTATAACACTTATTATTTACAAAAGCAGACAGATGTCTTTTCTAGATTGTTGTAAAACAAACATTAGCTAGATAAGGTCTAGTTCCATTAAACATTAAAATGTGTTACCACTAACCTACGGAAAAAAATATATAAAACTTATTATTTACAAAAGCAGACAGATCTCTTTTCTAGATTTCTGTAAACAAAACATTAGCTAGATAAGGTCTAGTTTCATTAAAAATTCAAATGTGTTACCACTAACCTATGGAAAAAAATATATAAAACTTATTATTTACAAAAGCAGACAGATCTCTTTTCTAGATTGTTGTAAACAAAACATTAGCTAGATAAGGTCTAGTTCCATTAAAAATTAAAATGTGTTACCACTAACCTACGGAAAAAAATATATAAAACTTTTTATTTACAAAAGCAGACAGATCTCTTTTCTAGATTGTTGTAAACAAAACATTAGCTAGATAAGGTCTAGTTCCATTAAAAATTAAAATGTGTTACCACTAACCTACGGAAAAAAATATATAAAACTTATTATTTACAAAAGCAGACAGATCTCTTTTCTAGATTGTTGTAAACAAAACATTTGCTAGATAAGGTCTAGTTCCATAAAAAATTAAAATGTGTTACCCAAAACCTACAGAAAAAATATATAAAACTTATTACTTACAAAAGCAGAAAGATCTCTTTTCTAGATTGTTGTAAACAAAACATTAGCTAGATAAGGTCTAGTTCCATTAAAAATTAAAATGTATTACCACTAACCTACGGAAAAAAATATACAAAACTTATTACTTACAAAAGCAGACAGATCTCTTTTCTAGATTGTTGTAAACAAAACATTAGCAAGATAGGGTCTAGTTCCATTATAAATTAAAATGTATTACCACTAACCTATGGAAACAATATTTAAAACTTATTATCTACAAAAGCAGACAGATCTCTTTTCTAGATTGTTGTAAACAAAACATTAGCTAGATAAGGTCTAGTTCCATTAAAAATTAAAATGTGTTACCACTAACCTACGGAAAAAAATATATAAATCTTATTTACAAAAGCAGACAGATCTCTTTTCTAGATTGTTGTAAACAAAACATTAGCTAGATAAGGTCTAGTTCCATTAAAAATTAAAATGTGTTACCACTAACCTACGGAAAAAATATATAAAACTTATTATTTACAAAAGCAGACAGATCTCTTTTCTAGATTTCTGTAAACAAAACATTAGCTAGATAAGGTCTAGTTCCATAAAAAATTAAAATGTGTTACCCAAAACCTACAGAAAAAATATATCAAACTTATTACTTACAAAAGCAGAAAGATCTCTTTTCTAGATTGTTGTAAACAAAACATTAGCTAGATAAGGTCTAGTTCCATTAAAAATTAAAATGTATTACCACTAACCTACGGAAAAAAATATATAAAACTTATTACTTACAAAAGCAGACAGATCTCTTTTCTAGATTGTTGTAAACAAAACATTAGCTAGATAAGGTCTAGTTCCGTTAAAAGTTAAAATGTATTACCACTAACCTATGGAAACAATATTTAAAACTTATTATCTACAAAAGCAGACAGATCTCTTTTCTAGATTGTTGTAAACAAAACATTAGCTAGATAAGGTCTAGTTCCATTAAAAATTAAAATGTGTTACCACTAACCTACGGAAAAAAATATATACAACTTATTATTTACAAAAGCAGACAGATCTCTTTTCTAGATTGTTGTAAACAAAACATTTGCTAGATAAGGTCTAGTTCCATTAAAAATTAAAATGTGTTACCACTAACCTACGGAAAAAAATATATAAAACTTATTATTTACAAAAGCAGACAGATGTCTTTTCTAGATTGTTGTAAACAAAACATTAGCTAGATAAGGTCTAGTTCCATAAAAAATTAAAATGTGTTACCCAAAACCTACAGAAAAAATATATAAAACTTATTACTTACAAAAGCAGAAAGATCTCTTTTCTAGATTGTTGTAAACAAAACATTAGCTAGATAAGGTCTAGTTCCATTAAAAATTAAAATGTATTACCACTAACTTACGGGAAAAAATATATAAAACTTATTACTTACAAAACCAGACAGATCTCTTTTCTAGATTGTTGTAAACAAAATATTAGCTAGATAAGGTCTAGTTCCATTAAAAATTAAAATGTATTACCACTAACCTATGGAAACAATATTTAAAACTTATTATCTACAAAAGCAGACAGATCTCTTTTCTAGATTGTTGTAAACAAAACATTAGCTAGATAAGTTCTAGTTCCATTAAAAATTAAAATGTGTTACCACTAACCTACGGAAAAAAATATATAAAACTTATTATTTACAAAAGCAGACAGATCTCTTTTCTAGATTGTTGTAAACAAAACATTAGCTAGATAAGGTCTAGTTCCATTAAAAATTAAAATGTGTTACCACTAACCTACAGAAAAAAATATATAAAACTTATTATTTACAAAAGCAGACAGATCTCTTTTCTAGATTTCTGTAAACAAAGCATTAGCTAGATAAGGTCTAGTTTCATTAAAAATTAAAATGTGTTCCCACTAACCTACGGGAAAAAAATATATAAAACTTATTATTTACAAAAGCTGACAGATCTCTTTTCTAGATTGTTGTAAACAAAACATTAGCTAGATAAGGTCTAGTTCCATTAAAAATTAAAATGTGTTACCACTAACCTACGGAAAAAAATATATAAAACTTATTACTTACAAAAGCAGAAAGATCTCTTTTCTAAATTGTTGTAAACAAAACATTAGCTAGATAAGGTCTAGTTTCACCAAAAATTAAAATGTGTTACCACTAACCTACGGAAAAAAATATATAAAACTTATTATTTACAAAAGCAGACAGATGTCTTTTCTAGATTGTTGTAAACAAAACATTAGCTAGATAAGGTCTAGTTTCATTAAAAATTAAAATGTGTTACCACTAACCTACGGAAAAAAATATATAAAACTTATTATTTACAAAAGCAGACAGATGTCTTTTCTAGATTGTTGTAAACAAAACATTAGCTAGATAAGGTCTAGTTTCATTAAAAATTTAAATGTGTTACCACTAACCTATGGAAACAATATTTAAAACTTATTATTTACAAAAGCAGACAGATCTCTTTTCTAGATTGTTGTAAACAAAACATTAGCTAGATAA